ACCTTCTCAAGGGCAACCACGGACAGGCAATAAATGCTGGCCTGACAGTGACACCCACGTCCCGTGAGTGAATTGAAAATAAAAAACAGCCTCATTTATAAAATCAGTAATAAGCTACTCTACAGTCTCTACATCTACAGATAAAAGGGAACCAGGAGATGTAACGTATTTTAATTTCCGAAAGGTGATCGATTAACCTGATGTGTGGACTTATGTCGATTTAAGGTTACTCATTAACTACTACCTACTAATGTTAGTCACTTTACTAAGTTAAGGGCCCATGGTTTTGAGGGGCAGATTTTGGCACGGGTGGAGGGTCCGTTCACTAATAGCATACAGAGAGTTGGAATAAGGGGCCATTTTCAGGATTGCAACTTGTAACTAATGCAATTCCACAGGAATCAGTGCTGCGGTTACAATTATTTACAATTATTATTAAAGACGCACACGAATGTATCATCACCAAGTCTTCAGATGACACAAAAATAGGTGGGAAGGCAAGTAGTGAGGATGACACAGGGTCTGCATAGCGACATAGACACATTAAGTGGGTGGACAAAAACTTCGTAAATGGAATATAATGTGGAACAATATGATTTTATTAATTTTGGGAGGAGCTGAATATTATTTAAATGGAAAAGACTGCAAAAAGACGCAGCACAGAGGGATTTGAGGGCCTGTGTGCATGAACAAGTTTAGTGGGAAATAGGGAAGGCAAATGAACTGTTGGTCTGTATTTTAAAGGGAATAGAGTACAAAAGTTGGGAGGGCCTGCTAAAACTATACAAGGCACTAACCAGACCACACCAGGAATATTGTAGATAACAAGGTGTAGAGCTGGATGAACACAGCAGGCCAAGTAGCATCAGAGGAGCAGGAAGGCTGACGTTTCGGGCCTAGACCCTTCTTCAGAAATGGGAATATTGTAAACAGTTCTGGTCCCCTTATCTAAGTAAATATTGACTGTCATTGCAGGCAGTCCAGAGAAGGTTAACTCAATTGATCCATGGTTTGAGAGGTTGAGAAGGTTGGGCTTGTACTCATTGAAATTGAGGAGAATGGGAGGAAACTTTATTGATACATATTTGATTCTTTGAGGACTTGACAGGATCGATGCAGAGAGGTTATTTCTCTTTGTGGGACAGTCTAAGACCAGAAGGTATAATTTCAGAGTAAGGGGTCGCATTTAAAACAGAGAAGAGGAGGAATTTCTTCTCTCAGTGGGTAGTGAATCTGTGGAGTTCTCTATCACAGAGGGCTGTAAAGGCTGTATTGTTAAGTATATCTAAGCCTGAGAGACAGATTTTTAATCAGTAAGGGAATCAATGGTTATAGGGAAAAGGCAGGAAAGTGAGAGTTGAGGATTAACAGATCAGCCAATCCCATTGAATGGAGAAGCAGACTCAACAGGTTGAATGGCCTTCTTCTACGTCTTTTGGTCTTACTCCTTAAAACGATCCCTACCTCATTGTTTACCACTCAAATTATCTTATGTGAGAAAGCTCAACATAGAAATCTAACAAACACTGTCAAAATTCAAGCATGAGAACTCAACAGGCAACTTAGTGCAAAGTCTCCAGTCCAAGTAGGATTGCTTTTGGCTGATGTAGCAAATTCAACGCATTGCCTTACGTTAAATTATCACCTAATTTACTGACTATGTGCAGAACTCCAAAAACTCTTATTTTCTGCCAGTGCACATCAGTGACACGAAAACACTGTAAATTATACTAATAAAACCTGGAATGAAGTAACAAACAACTCAACACAGAAAGAAGCAAGGTGGGCCAAATGAAGAAAATCAATGTCAATATAAAGCATGCACCAATCATAATCCAAGTTGTTTGGAGCTTCTTCCTAAAAGAAGCATGTGCAAAATAATTTTTTAACTGACGATCCCCCGTGGTTAGCTTGAAAATTTACACTGTACATATTCAGTTTCTGTCTTTCATTCAAATTACCAATTAATTTTTTTCACTGCCAAAACCTTATCACGCTGACACCTGAACAAGCAGCATTATGATTAATTGACATTTTTTCCATTAATTAAGAGTGCTGGGATCTGCTAAACATTTTTGGGCTCAGTAATGTGTTTTTTTCTGTTGCAGTTATTCCCCTTCACCAATTTCCTTTATCTTTGTGTGTAACATTTTTTAAAAGCCATCACATCCTACCATGGAGAAAAATTTTTAAAGCGTGTAATTTTACAATTCAGCGGATTTCAAAGCTGCTTTTTCCTCCACTATCGCTTCTACTGACCAGTCAAGACTTCAACAGCCAGCATGACCTGAAAGCAGATTCTTCCCAATGATACCATGGCCAACAGCTTAGAGAGAGGCCAGGTTACTCTGCTTCATCCTGCAAATTACTGGGAAGAACTTGACACAGTGTCTTCCTCTTCAAAATGGAATGTGTTGAGCATGTTAAGGAAATACACAAATAATTCGTCAGAACACATTTGGAATATTGTGTTCATTTCTGGGCACATTATTTGCAGAAGGATATTAAAGACTGGAAGTGAGTGCAAAGGAGACTTACTAGAATGATGCCAGGAATAAGGGATTTTAGATCCAAGATTAGTGAAATTGAGGTTTATTCTCCTTGGAGCATAGAAGATTAAGAACCTTATTGAAGTGTTCAAAATTATGAACAATTTTGACAGGGTAAAGAAGAACATTCTGTTTCCACTAATTGGCACATCCATAACTAGGGGCCACAATTGTAAGATTGTCAGCATGACAGCCAAGAGTGAAATGAGGAAAAACATTTTTACTCAGAGAGTTGTTAGGATTTGTAATGCACTGGCTGGGAGGCAGATTTCAAGGGAGGTTTCAATGAGGAGGCAGATTTCAAAGGAGGTTTCAATGAAGAGCTGGATAGATATTTGAAAGTGATGAATTTAGAGGGCTATGGAGATAGGGCTGGACAATGGGACCAGCTAGGTGAGAGCAAGTACAGGCACGATGGGTTGAATGGCCTGCTGTATTGTAAATTTCTATGATTCTACATGCCGTGAACTGCAGGCTAAGGCCTTGTGAAGGAAAGAGGGGTTCAGGTTATCCCAAACTATTTTATCCCCGCTTTGGAAGTGTAGTCACTGCTGTAATATAAAAAAATGTAGCAGTCAAATTTAACCACAAGTACAATTACTAGTACAAAAATGACCCTCACAAACGGCAATGTGATAGTGATCAGGAAATCTATTTTAAAGATATTGACTGGGGATGAAATGTTGGACAGGGAAGAGGGGATAACTCCCCTGGTCTTCTTTAGAAATTTTTCAGGACAGACAGAGACTCGGTTTAACATTTCACCCCAACAACAGCACTTGTGTAGTTCTAAACCACAGCTTCAAGACAACGGTGAAGTCTCTGAAACGAGGCTTGAACTAACAACATAGTGACTCAGATGTATAAGTGCCACCAACTGAGCCACAGCTAACAACTAACAAGAATGTGCACCTTTGATGACTTCATCTTGATGGAAACTTTATTAAACATGCAGGAGAAGGGAAAAAGGACTGAAGGTGGAAATAAATACTCCAGTTGTCCACTTCCTGGATATTGCCATCATCTGCTGAAATTTAATGAGAGAAAGCTGCTTTGAAAGAATACAGAATTGGAGATAAGATTCAGATTTTTCTCCATGTTGGAATTTTGATAGATTCAGCAGCATGCAGAGAATTGAAAACGGTGAGTACAAAGTGTGCATACTTAAGGTGACATTGTCAGAAACACCTAGCTGGTAAGCTAGGAATGTTTACAGGCACAAAGTTGTCAGATTGCAGCATTAATGTTAACAAGGAGAAAGGAAAATCTGTGTTATTTTTACTCTTCCTTTCCCCAGAAAATGTTCTGTTGGTGGACAGTATTATAGGCAGGAGATGTCTTTAAGCATCCTGGCTAAATAGTGAGCTGCAATGTGGGCGGACTTTTGACTACAGGCAGTCCACAGAACCATAGTGGCACAGTGGTTAGCACTGCTGCCTCACAGCACCAGGGACCCAGGTTTGAATCCAGCCTTGGGTGTCTGTTTGTGTGGAGTTTGCACATTCTCCCTGTGTCTGTGTGGGTTTGCTCTGGTTTCCTCCCACAGTCCAAAGATGTGCAGGTTAGGTGCATTGGCCATGCTAAATTGCCCATAATGTTCAGGGATGTGTAGATTAGAGGGGGATGGGTCTGGGTGGGATGCTCTGAGGTTCAGTGTGGACTTGTTGGGCTGAAGGGCCTGTTCCCACACTGTAGGGATTCTATGATTCAACAGGAAAACATGCAACCACTGTACCGAGTCCCAGTCCTGACTCTCTCCGTTTTCAGCAAGGCTCACTGGACAGTGGTCAAGCTGAATATTTTTTCCTCCTTGATGAGGTGCCGAATTCATCCACCTTCTCATGGGCAAAAAGGGATGGGCAATAAATATTTGAGATGCTCAAGTCCCAAGAGCCACTAAAAATAGTCATTAGAGAAATGCCTTGAGACCTTTGTTCAAATCAAATTGAATGACGTACTGAGTGGAAAACAAAAAATGCTGGAGCTCTGATGAAGCTTCATCTAGACTCCAAATGTTCGCTTGCTCTCTCTCCATGGTTACTGCCTGACCCGCTGTGAGTTCCAGCATTTTTTATTTTCAGCACAGGCTCCTGCATCTATAGTAATTTGGAGCTACTGAGGGAACTCATAGGGATATCTGTACTGTGAAGCTTACACATTGAAAGAACATTAATTGTGCTGCTAGCTGGCTGCTATTTCTGTGAGGAAGTTTCTTGCTTGTGCACCATAAAAAGAAATGGCCTGCAAAAAGACAGAATTCTTTAATCAGGTCAGGCCATTAAAATTAAAGTTAGATTTTGCTGTGGTAATCAATCTGTTGATGTCAAAAGAAATCACCAGGTTGCAGTGTAGGTCGCTAAGTGTGCTGCTGCATTAGAGCCTTGGGGAATGAAGGCTCTCGATATTTCGCCACTTATGGAATGATTTGTAGGGTATCCTCTGTCTACTCACCCACTGAGCAGTCTGTGCCTGTCCAATTGGGATCACAAGTGCAGGAACCACTCTCCTGAAGGTAGGTCCCGTGACCAGAGCACTGATCGGGACACTTAGTTTTCGAGTTTTCACAGTTTGCACCGCTCCATCCTGGACTGCAGTGGCATTCCCCGTGGATACAGACACCGTGGTTCGAACAGGCTGGATCGAAGCAGTCCGCTGCAAGAGAAAAAGAAATCATTCTTTGGACTAAGAAGATGAGCAACAGCAAAGACTTGCAAGGCCTGGCCCTCTAATTCACTTTAATGTGCTTTAGATGATGAGATCTAATTTAACAATTTGACTCAATAAAATTTTACGCTTGTAGGGTCAACGACCTGAAAATTTAATCTCTTCAGGACTAATTGCTTTACTGTATGAGCAAAGATCAATAAAATCAATATTTCTGAGATAGAGAAATTGGATTTTACAGTTGAAAAATGAACTGATCTTTCACAGCTTCCTCCTCGATACCATGATTATGACAGAAAGAACAAAAAAACTGACCAATTGTCATCATAATTTACCAGCATCAGCTATCTTGTCAGTTATTCCTACCCACTGAAGGACTACAGTCCATGATAGCAGAGTATCAATACACTTGACTGAGGCAATTCTTTATTCTGCGATGTGGAAAAGCATCAATATCTTCCCATTGTTTTATCATCTCAAAGTGAAGAACATTACTCAAAGAGTGCTGACTTCCTTCAGTACTTGGTTTCACTTCAAGGGCAGGAAGGGAAACCCTTCCTATTATTTGCAAACCCTGTCTTTTGAAAGAGATAAGCACGATGACACAATAGCAGAACGCGTTGCAATCCCATGTCTGTTTAGTTCAGGCAAGTGAGTTTGGATCAAATCGCAGTCTCGCTCCTGTTTTTCAACTATTTGATGCAAACTGTTGCTCTTACAGAAGAAATTTTCCACTTATTGACAAGGTTTAAAATTGGTATTGCGGATTGGCAACAGTTTGTAGAAAGTGTTCAATTTAAATTTCCAGATCAAAAATGTCTGCATTTCAAAGTATCCAGAACTGTCTGTAAATATCCATTCATTCCACTTACTTGCCATGCCTCTTTTCCACCATGGTCAACACAGATATTTCTGAGGAAGGGTCACCGGACCCGAAACGTTAACTGATTATTTTTTTCACAGATGCTGCCAGACCTGCTGAGCTTTTAAAGCAACTTCTGTTTTTGTTACGGATATCTCTAACCCTCTCAATGACTGACCTGCAAATAACTGGAAGCTAATAAACTGCCACAAGCTCTGAACATCACCTTTTTTAAAAATTGCAAGCCAATTCTTATCTTGGCACATATCCAGGGTGCAAAATTTATCTCGGTGAAAAGAAGGGAGCTTGGAAAAAGGGACTGATCAGTGGTATCTTAGAGATGGGTGCTTCAACTAATTCTTGCCTCATTGAAAAAGCCTCAGTGTTTATAATGATAAAGGTTTAAACAATGCTTAATTCCTACCCCTTACAACAACACATTTTGGCTCTAAACTATTTTGGTTGATTTCATGAATAAAAGCTGACAGTCAGTGGGTCCTACCATATCTGTGACTGATAAGACATCTTGCTATATGGGACCATTCTTGACATGGCCACTAGAGCAGAACAACAGTTCCATTCTATTCTGCTTAAGTTCCTTTAGATGAGCGGTAAGCATTTGTACATGACAGGTGTGCTTCTTTCATGTATGGTTGCAAGATACCTGTGATATGAACAGCATTATCTTTTGTATGGGTAATGGAACTCTCCATGGAGGAACTTTCTACGAAGGGCAAAAGGGAGGAAGCACCACTTGAGTTGCTGAATATAAAAGATGAGGTCTGTCAGTATTTATAAAAAGAAATGTTCGACCTTTAGGTATAAACCTTTTTATTGATGCCAATGGATCTAATGCTAACCGACACGATTTCACATTTCCAACATTTCTCGCCAGTTCTTCCTGTTCATTGTAGCTGCTGTTATTTTTTGGTACACATGTTTATTTACAAAGAGCTGAACAGTTTCCAAACACACCCAACTGCAGACTCAGGTTGGAACCTCTAGCCATCAGGATGCTCAATGCCTTATCTTGAAATTTCTACAGACATTTAATCAGAAATTCTTTCTTTTTCATTTTTATTCGAGTTATTAACAGTGCTGCTACAAAAAGATATAAAGAGATACGTTTAGATAGAGATCATCAGATGGTTTACTTTGAACTTATCAAAATGACAAGCTGCAAAGATAAAAATAGCTGGCATTTACTGACTGATGCTGTATTTTAAACATGAGCCAATCTCATTATTAGGTCTGCAGTGCCTTAATATTTAAATGTCTTTGCAAAACTGAAACCGCCATATGTTTTCGTGACCTCAGAGAAAGGTTTGTGAGGCCAGACTTAGAAAGAGAGAAAATTTACCCCGGCCTTAAACAAATTATTCGATACTATTAACTTGAGACTTCAAGCCCCTTGATGATTACATGGTGGATACCAGTCAGAGAATTACTTAGTAATTCAACGACAGGTTATTCTGCAATAAGCCAAAAGCAATAATATCCCATTGGTTAATCATGCTTTTGGAACTTCATCAACAAAACAGTAAGCAGGTCTGCTGATGATTATGGCTTTACAATAGTGGACATTGCAATAAAAAATGTTATTCCATAAAATTTACAGTATATTGCATAAGAAAACAGCAGATAACTCCACGGTTGTCAATGTGTGGAACCACAGGAGATGAGTGCGATCTTAAATAAATATTTTGCGTCAGTATTTATTGGAAGCTAGGGAACTTGAGAAAATAAATAGTGATATCTTGAAAAGGGTCCATTTTACAGAGAAGGAGGTGCTGGAGATCTTAAAGCTCATAAAGATAGATAAATTCCAGGACTTGATTGGATGTTTCCTAGAACATTGTGGGAAGTTAGGGAAGAGACTGCTGGGCCCTTGCTGAGATATCTGTATCATCAACAGCTACGGCTGAAGTACTGGAAGACTGGAGATTGGCTAATGTAGTGCCATTATTTAAGAAAAGCTGTAAAGAAAAGCCAGGGAACTACAGACTGGTGAGCTTTACACCAGTGGTGGGGAAGTTGTTGGAGGGGATTGTGAATGGAAGGATTTAAATGCATTTGGAAAGGTGAGGCCTGATTAGAGATAGTCAATATGGCTTTGTGCATGGGAAATCATGTCTCATGAACTTGATTGAGTTTTTGAAGAGGTGACAAAGCGGACTGATGAAGGCAGAGTGGAAGACATTGTCTATATGGACTTCAGCAAAGTGTTTGTCAAGGTTCTGTATGGTAGACTGGTTAGTAAGGTTAGATCACATGGGATCCAGTAGGAGCTAGCCAACTGAATACAAAATTGGCTTGAAAGTAGGAAACGAAGGGTAGAGTTGGAGGGTTGCTTTTCAGACTGGAGGCCTGTGACCAGCGGTGTGCCACAAGGATCGGTGCTGGATCCATTGCTTTTTGTAATTTACATGAATGATTTGGATGTGAACGTAGGAGGCATGGCTACTATGTTTGCAGATGACACCAAACTAGCTGATGTATGGACAGTAAAGAATATTATCTAAGAGCACAAACAGTTCCTTGATCAGATGGGCCAATGGGCTGAGGAGTGGCAGATGGAGTTTAATTTAGATAAATGTGAGGTGTTGCATTTTGGTAAGGCAAACTAGGGCAGGATTTACAGTTAATAGTAGGGGTTGGGGAGTGTGGTCGAACAAAAAGACCTGGGAGTGCAGATGCATAGTTACTTGAAAATGGCATCACAGGTAGACAGGGTGGTGAAGAAGGTGTTTGGCACGCTTGCCTTCATTGGTCAGAACTTTGAGTATAAGAGTTGGGACACCATGTTGCAGCTGTGCAGGACATTGGTTCGGCCACTTTTATAATATTATGTACAGTTGTATAGGAATGATGCTATTAAGCTTGAGAGGGTGTGAAAAAAAGATTTACTGGAGGGTTTGAGTTAAAAGGGGAGGTGAATAGGCCTGGGCTATTTTCCCAGGAGCCTCAGGGTTGAGGGATGACCTTATAGAGGTTTATAAAATCATTAGGGGAATGGATAGGGTGAATTTTTCTCGGGTGGAAGAGTCCAAAACTAGACGACACAGGTTTAAGGTGACAGGGGAAAGGTTTAAAAAAGACCTGTGGGCTAACTTTTTCATGTAGAGGGTGCTGCGTGTATGGAATGAGCTGCCAGAGGAAGTGGTCGAGGCAAGTATATTTACAACATTTAAAAGACAAAAGGTAAATGAAAAGGAAGGGTTTAGAGGGACATTGGCCAAATGCTGGCAAATGAGACAAGGTCAGATTGAGATGTCTGGTTGGCACGGGCGAGTTGGACGAGGGTCTGTTTTCGTGCCATACAACTCTATGATTCTAATTACCAGGTAGCAACATTATGTTGACAAGACAATTAAAACCAACATGCGGTTTAGTTTATGGCAACGTCTGAACTCTGATTACATTACTGCATTGTAATTACTCTCAGCTACCCATTAATCTTTCTATAATGTTTGTCCCAATATAAACCAGCAACTGGACTAAACAAATGAGCTTTGGAATGAAAAGACACATGCTTTTAGATATGGGTTTGAAGGTTTCCATTTGGAAAACAGTCTGGGGAAGTTACTTTTCAACATTTGGCACAATGAACACTCCAGGAAAACAGCTAGATACTTACAGTGTGTCAAAATTATCCAGATGACGCCTAGGGCTCAATTGTGGCTAAGTGTTGCGCTTCTGCTTTATAATGAGTTGTTAATAGCATCCTAGCGTTTGACATAAATTGATCCTGACAGAGATGAATATCTTTAATAAATGTCACACAGTTGACAGCCATTCTCTCAGCAAAAGAGGCCTTACCTGCTTATACATGGTCAATGTAGCAGTTCTTTTGCAGGCAGTTCTTAAGAAGCTGTGGGTGTCATAAGCAAAATCAATCGACTCAGCGAAAGTATGAGGGATGAAGATTATAGAAGGAGCTTGCCTCAGAAAGAATAGTGTAATGATTAAGTCTGGGCAACAGCCTTGCACATCCCTGCTACGTACCAATGGGCACACAGGGAACAGAGGGACAATGCCAAGTTTCTGGGAAGGTGCCCATTATAATTTAACTAATGGCTCAATGCTCCTTCAATGTACATTAATTCAGTGTAACATTTTATGATCTGGGTTTCAGATCAGAATAATTTAAACAAGAAGCTTTAGCTATCAGACAAAGATATCATAATTGCTACTTGATATTTCAGGTTCCTCCAAGGTATGTGGCTTTCGAGCCTCACTGTTTAAGTTAAGGCCGAGCAGAATGCTTTGTCACTGCAGTGACTACCCTAGTCCAGCGAGTACATTAAGACTGATTTTCTTGGCTGCTTGGACAAAGTGGTTGGAGGTGCATGGGGCAGGAAAATACTGGGGAGTTGCACCAGTTCAGTTCTCTGATGCATTTCCACCTTCAGGGAAGATTCCCCACATGGAGTAGGAAGGTAGCAACTGTTGCCATTCCTGATGCAGTGGCAATGATTCCCCTCCATTCTAATGGACCTGACCACCTTGACCTTATTTATTAGCAAGTGGCAGAGGTTTGCTGAACTGGTACCAACCCTGACAAGTGTAGTTGCTCTCAACATCAGAGCGCTGAAGCACAAGGAAACTTTCACACCCTCACCTCGGGATTAGAGAGTGTACAGCACTTTCCTCTGACAAGCTTCAAGACTCGCCATTTTGAACAGACATTGTGTCTGACCGCCACAACATGATACAAAACACTATTTGAGACTCTTTCTGCCTGGCACTGACTTTGTTTGATTTGGGCTTGGACAAGAAGGGCGGAGAATCCCAACCTTATTCAACAACACTTTATAACACTATGCAAGGGGTGAAGGGATATGGATCAAGGACAGGCAGAAGGGATTAGTTTTATTTGGCATTATGTTCGGCACAACATTGTGGGCCGAAGGGTCCATTCCTGTGCTGTACTGTTCTATGTACAGTGTTTCAATCCTGTTTGGAAACAAAGAGTCAGCAGCACTCGAGAAGAAGTTAATACATCAGGTAAGATAATACAATCGAGTTGGCTGGGCATTAGTTTCTGGAGAGGCCTGATAATAGGCTGCATCCAACCACCTTCTTTTCTTAGTCCAACCAAAGTCAAATCAGTGATTGACATTTTCACCAAAGTTTGCAAATCAGTCCAAGGTTAAATGCTCTTTGTAATTGATTAATCAACCCCACTCTCCTGATCTTCCCCAACAGCTTTGCATATTTTCCCCCTTCAAGTGGACAGTCAATTCTCCTTTGAATGTTCCAATTGAATCACACTTTCAGGTAGTGCACTCCAGATCAATCATAATTCATTATACAAAAGAATATCTCCTTGCGTTGTTTCTGCTTTTCTCACCAATTCCAGAAATCCTGGTCCTTTGATTATTGATCTTGTGCTCACAGGAAACAGCTTGTCCATATTTCCTTTATTAATTTTGAACATCTCTAATAAACGTTCTCTTAACCGTCTCTGTTCCATGGAGAACAATGCCAGCATCTCAGCCTTCCCAGATAACTAAAGACCATCATTCATGGTACCGTTCCAGTAAATCTCTTAAACACCCACTCAAATGCTTAGAAATTGGGGCTGTTAATCTGATCCAATCAGGGAGCCCTGGCTGACAGATGTAAACAGGAGTGTCAGCAGTTCTGTTCACTCTGAGAGCTGGCTCTGAGGAAGCCAGACCGGTGTCAAGGACTCTCCACATGTAAATAAAGGATGACTTGGTGATGGGATACTGGCCTCTATGGAGTTATTTAACCCTCCTAATTACTTGCTGTACCTGTATGCTAACTTTGTGATTCATGTACTTGGATACTCAGAGTCCTGGTACCATTCTCCACTAAAATAACATACTGTTATTTTTTGCTCTTTCTGCCGAAGGGGCCAAGTTTTTATTAACATTTCTTCTCATTATAATTCATCTGTTCCAACTTTGTGTCACTTATTTAACCTATCTATATCCTTTTGCAGACTCTCTATCTCCTCTTCACTGCTTACTTTCCTACTGATCTTTGTATGGTCAACAAATTCAGCTACCATACATTTAGTTCCGTCATCCAAATCATTGCTATAGATTGTAGAGCAAAGAGGACCTCGCACAGATCCCTCTGGCACTCCACCAGTTACAACTTGTCAACCTGAAAAGGACCTGTTTATCTCTGTTCTCTGCTTCCCATTAGCTGTCAATCCATCATCCAGGTTCATGTGCTACTTCCCACACTTGTCGTGTGCAGCATCTTGTCAAATGGCTGTGAGTAATCAAAGTCCTTCCATCATTTGATTGCACTATAAACATGTTTCAGGGAAACCTTTTACAAAATTAGCTCATGTCTTCTTATTTGTTGTAAGGTGAGGAGAGCAGCAATAAATGCGTTTGTGAGACAACTCATGTCCTTGTGGAGAAATAAAGAAACACCTTTTTTTTAAGCCAAGCTCAACTCTGTTATCACTGACAAAAATCATAGGCTAATTATAAAATGGCTGCATCTATAATTCAACCAACTTAACAGCTTCTGACAACTAAAAAGGATGATGTTTCCATTAAAATATGTCAATGTTTTTGCACATTACTCCTAGAAATACTGGCGAATTTAAGTGAATTTTCAGGGAGTTGATTTATGCAGTGTCCTTTCTGAACACAAAAAAAAACTCTTAGTGCCAAGTCTCAACACATTCTCATGATCGAGTGAATATTTGAGTGACAATATCTAAGAGTCTTCTGTGGTAGATAGACAATAACAGACATCATGTTGGTTAGGCAACTATTGGTGAGAATCTACTTCATCATATAAGTGACTTAAATACAGTAGGATGGAACGTGCAAATCCGAGAAGTCTGTATCCAACTACAGTGCACTAATAATACCGCATAATTTGCTGCATTGTTAGAAAAAAAAGCATTCAAGCTTAATAGGTTAACACCTGCACACAAGATATAATAGAAGCGCATTAAGATGTCATTGATGAATAACACTGATCAGAAGCTCCATCTTAATGTCTCAGCATGTCGAGCCACTTTGAATTGATTTCCAACAAAACAGTGCTCTGCCTTTTGCTGCCATTCTATTGTGCCGTACCTTGCTCACACATTTCTCCTTTGTAACCTGAGTTACAAACACAGGAGCCCATGATGCAGACGCCATGTGCTCCACACAAAGGGTCTATGCACTGGGTTGAGGGGACATCACACTCCGTTCCTTTCCAGCCACTGTAACAAAGGCAACGTCCCTTGGAATACTGGCCATTACCGCTACATAATATTGGACATGTTGCTGCACAAAAGAAATGAGAGCATATTAGAACCAGGTCGGGAATAAAACAGCAATAAAGTGTGCAAATCTTAAATTTTCTTTTTATCAAAGAACCCCACAATGTTTTCTGTAATGTGTTGCAGCAGTTCTCAATGATACTGAATTGGTTCGACCTTCGATAAATATATTTACCAACTATAAGCGCCAAGAAAACAAGTTCTGAGGAAGGGTTACTGGACGTGAAATGTTAACTGACTTCTCTCCACAGATGCTGCCAGACGTGCTGAGCTTCTCCAGCAATTTCTGTTTGTGTTTCTGATTTATAGCATCTGCAGTTCTTGCAGATTTTTATTAAGTATGTTATCGAGGCTTCTAGGCTGCATTCCCTGAGGTGGGTAGCTGGATTGGGAAATTTTGGGAGACCAGCCCAATTTAAAACACCCTGTCATTACATAATTGTCGCTCTAGGGCTGGGTGCAGGATATGGAGGGGCCAACAAACCTCAGCTGTAGATTCCAGGCTACGGATGTGGGTCAATGTCAAGTCAGGCTGCATAATAAAAGCAGTCAGGTCCTCTAGACCTCAACCCTCACACAATCGGATCCCTGTGGCTCCTCATGTTTTCCATGCCAACTTAGTGCTAATGCGTGTCCCTTCCATGCCATTTGTCTAATACACACTACGTACAGGATGAATAATCCAGATAATTGCAATAGTTTTGAAATTTTTGAAAATGCCCATTCAAAAATGGTTTTAGAAAAAACTTTCTGAAAAAATTTTCTGAAGAAGGGTCCTGATTTGAAATGTCAACTTCCTGCTACTCTGATGCTGCCTGGCCTGCTGTGTTCCTCCAGCTCCACACTGCGTTATCTTTGAAAAAATTAATGGCTGTTTCTATAGCATAACAAAAGTGTCAATCAAACAGACCATTCAATTGTCAATCACAGCGGATTGAGATGAGGAACCATTTCTTCACTCAGATGCTGGTCGACCTGTGGAATCTGTCATGAGAGAGAGCCATGAAGACTGAGCCACGGAGTGTATTTGAGAAAGACAGCGATGATATTTTGGATTTTAAAGGCATCAAGGGGTATGGGGAGAGAGCAGGAGTACGGCATTGAAGTACAGGATCAACCATGATCATACTGAATGGTAAAACAGGCTCGAAGGGCCAAATGGCCCACTCCTGCATCTAGTTTCTATGTTTCAAACACTTTACTCCTCAATTCTGTCCAAATAAATATTGGGACATTGACAGTAAAAGAGCACAGAAAGAGCAATTCACTATAAGCACAAAAAGATGTCACTCAAGCAAACAATTCACTTCACTTGTCGAAACAGATTGCTTGTGAGCTCATACGTTTATCAGTCTGGGTTCTCAGCCAAATATGCATCATGCAGATAGGTAGAAACCTACTCAAGGCGTCCATGTTTATGAGGACACAATAAACAGCTGCAAAGTGTTTCAAAGGTCGTGAAGCACCAGTGTTGAAAAAGTTGACCTGACTCCAATAAAATTACCAGAGGCTAGGAATCACCTATGCCCATAATGGAGCCAGGCAGGCAGGGAGTGCAGAGTTCCTCACTACCTGTGCCCTTATCCCAAGCTGGTGAAAGCTGCTAGAATTGGGTCTCACCTACTATTTTTAAGCAGCTTCAGAGTTGGCCCAACTCCGAGAAAATCTTGCCATCAGAACTTGTTGTAATGTAAGGTACCACTGCAACCAGTGGCAAAACCTCAGGCTGTTTTGCATCAATCCCAAAATGGCTCCACCTCCTGTGTGTGTACCATCTCCTGTCCTTGTCAACGACTAACAAAACATTTGGAATTCTAAACAAACATCTTGACTCACCTCTTGCACAATCAGGTCCAAAGAATCCTGGGAAACAGTGACAAGCTCCAGAAACGCATTCCCCATTTCCATGACAGTTTCGTGGACACTCCACTACAGACTCTGTAAATAATCCAATCTTCAGAATTACACGAGATTTGCATTTTGAGAAAACACATTGTTAGGTGAAACAAACCTTACTCCCATAGGAACTACAATGCCTTCGACATGAAAGGGATTCCACTTCAGGGCTAATGACAATTGGCATGATGGGACACCAAATATTGTCCTTATGTAGTTGGCACCACAGAACCAACAGACAACAGCAGTATCAATAATAAAAACAGAATTCAATCTTTAAAGAAAGAAAGAATTAGCTTTTACACAGCAGTGCTCACGGCTTCATGAAGTTCTAAAGTACTTTTACATCCAAAAAAGTATTTTTGAAGTGTCGTCACTTTTATTTTATTCACTGTGGATGTGGGTTTCTTGGCTTGGGCTGGCATTTATTGCCCATGCCTAATTGCCCTTTAAAGGAGTGGTTTATCAGCTAGTTCAGAGGGCAGTTTTTGGTAAACCACATTGGATCTGGAGTCACATGTCGACCAGACCAGTAAAGTATGGCAGGTTTCCTTCCTGGTATATGAGTAAGATAGGTGGTCACATGGGTGCCATTAGGCCAGATATTAGAAACAGAGCAGCCAATGTATGCAAAGGAAGTTCCCAGAAACAACACATGAACATGACCAGATCATCTGTTCTGGGGACCCGGGTTCAAATCCCGCTACAACAATGGTTGAATTTGAATTCAATAAATGTCTGGAATTAAGAGTCTAATGATGACCAGGAATCCATTGTCGATTGTTGGAAAAACCCATCTGGTTCACAAATGTCCTTTAGGGAAGGAAACTGCCATCCTTACCTGGTCTGGCCTACATGTGACTCCAGACCCACAGCAATGTGGTTCACTCTTAACTGCCCTCTGGGCAATTAGGGATGGGCAATAAATGCTGTCGAGCCAGTGACGCCCTCATCCCATGAATGAATAAAAATTACACTGATTGCTGCCATTAGTCAATTTCATTGGGTACTAGATTGGAACTTGTCAACAAGTGTGAGAAGAAATAATTGTAATCATTGTGACATTTGTAAAATATCAAACCAAGATTAACTAGAAGGACAAAGGCCGCAAATACATGGCGACACACCACTCCTAGTTCTCCTCCAAGCTACTCAGCATTCTGACTTGGAAATATATTGCTGTTCCTTCAGTGTCGCTGAGACAAAATCAAAAACAGCATTGTGAACGTGCCTACACCAAACGGTCAGTTCAGGAAGTCGGCTTGTCACCTTCTCAAGGGCAACTAGGGGTGGGCAACAAATGCTGGCCCACCCAGTAACACCCATATCCCATGAATGAATTTTTTAGAACGATCAAATGCTTGGTGGTCTATTTCACGTTTAGTGAATGGAATCTTCAGATAGATTCAGCCACTATCAGTGGAAAAATAGTTTGTAGCTTGAGGAAGAAATTATATATTAGTCAGTAACAGCGAGAGCCAATGCTTTCTTCAACAAATCCACACACAAGAGTATCAATGCCTACCTATGACAATGGTATTAAAGGACACATGCTCGGGAGTTTTCCCATCATTGTAAAAAGCCAGGTGCCAGACTCCTGAGTCAAGGTACTGGATGAAGCCGGCCTCTTGGATGCTCACTGCTCTGATGTGCCGTCTTCGGTGCTCAGAATCAGTCAGGCTACGCTTTTCCCTGGTGATCAATCTGCTGCCGTCAAGGAGCTCGACAAAGTCATACTGAGAAGCAGAGGCACAAGTCGTGAATCAGACACGAATGTGGAAGCAAAGCAATGGACACTTTTCAGGTACAAAGTCACTAATGATGACCGTGAATCCACTGTCAGTTGTCGGAAAAACCCATCTGGTTCAATCATGCCCTTTAGGGAAGAAAACTGCCATCCTTACCTGGCCTGGCATGTGACTCCAGACCCACAGCAAGGTGGGTTTGTTTGGGATTATAAGAAATTCATTTAAAGCCTCTTTATACAAAAAAAAACATTTTATGTACACACCATTTGGTCTAAAATTATTTCAAAGCCAGATTACCGTTTTTATTTTCAACAGTTAGCTTTACATTTTGTTTTCATAAGTGAGCCACAAAGTTAGAATAAGAAAATACATTCATTGCTCTGGAAAATATTAATAGGTTGCACAGACTTCTCCTGCTGTTTCTCGTATTTGAGTGGACATGAATGCAATGGATATAGGTGGAAGCTGTGAAGATTAAGGCTTTCAAAAATACACCCACAGACCCAAGTTCCAGAGTTTGACCACGCCTCTGGATACAGACCGGCACTGTTTGACGAGTATTATAAGGTATGAAAGATATGCATCATAACATCCTGGATTTCATAATTAGAGACATTGATTATGGAAACAACAATACCCTTACAAAATACAAATTCAATTCTGGCATCACATTTTGGGAAGTTGTGAAGACTTTGATGAGGATACCAAAGAGACTTATGAGAATGGTTCTGGGATGAGGGATGACAGTTATGTGGGCAGACTTTAGGGAAGACAGAGATTCAGGAGGATTGAATAAAGCCAGGAAAGGCTGAGAAAGAGGAAATAATGCGACACTGTTACCATTGGCTATATAGTTGATAACTGTATTGCAAAAGTAGACTGGCAAAATAATGAGAGCTATCATAAAGGAAAATATTGTTCTTGAGGGTTAGGATCTTAAACACACTGCCAAAAACACTGACAAATCCAAATCCAAAACAGAATTTCATAAGGGAATTGGATAAATAGTTTAGGAGGAGGACAATTTTCAGGAAATGGTACAAGAGTGGAAGAATGGGACAAAAAATGTTGCTCTTCAATCAATTTCGTATGCTCAAGAGACTGAATGGCCCCCTTTCTTTCCCATGATCCTACAATAGAGAATTATATTTTTGTGATCAAAGACTAATAATTCCAACAGCTACTAAAGTAAAGGCTGTTTTATTTCTTCTAAATTCAAATGTATTCATTTAAGATATCAATTTTTAATTAGAATTTGTCTTTCATGGGAAACCTCAGACCTTCACAATACTTAGTGGCCGTTGAAAATGAAAGACTCGATTAAACACACATAGGGGCTCTTAAGCTGTAAATAAGGTTAGGGCAAAAATTGGCAAACATTTTACACTGGGTTTCGATTAGCCACACCTCGGAGACTGAAAAATTGAGCAGCAGGTCTAATGGATAGAAAGTAGGCCTGATGTGACTGAAGGAAAGACTTGCCATGAAGCATGTCGAGAAATGTATGTTAACAAAGTTCAAAAAGAGATTGGTCAATCTGAAGATTAAACGTGCTGGTGTCCAGCTGATACCACAGGTTTCTGATTATTTTTATTCCCAACTTTATGCACTGAAAGGCCTGACTTTTGCTGAATTACAGCTCCAGTGGTACTGATGTACTCTCAGTGGTACTCGCTGCCCTCCAGTACTCATTCTGTGAATGGCCTATGATCCTGACAGTCTACAGAGGGCACTGCAGCAGAATGTGTTTCCTGTCTCAATCGCCATCTGCGAGGTACAACCCCTCCAGAAAGGGGGCAGTATGCACGTGGAACGTTGTCTGATAATTCCTGTGCTGACACCCCCATGATTCAATGTTATATGGAGGTTTACAGCATGGAAACAGGCCCTTTGGCCCAACATGTCCGTGCCGCCGATTTCACAATTAAACTAGTCCCATCTGCCTGAGTATGGGATGTGATCTAAGCTTGAGATACAAAAATGTTTAAGGGAAATTCCAGGTCCAAATGACTGACTAACACTTGGGCTCTGAACTTATCCAAAGACGATTGTGCCATTTTGTAAAATCAGTGACGATATTAATTCTGTGATAGTTCCTTTAGAATGAGAGATTTCAAATAGCTGAAGGGAGCCAAGTTAAGTGATAGCTTGTTCATAATATTCACACTCATTACAGTGCCCATTTTTTCATTTGGATAAAAGAATAAAGGAACAAATTGGCATCTTCATGCCCATGAGGAAGATCTGTTTTTAATGGAGTGAAGGTAGCTTTAAAGTGGACCAGTGATTGAATCTCTCAGATTACTCGCACTGCAGTGAAGATGAAAATTTGCTTCAATATTCTGCTTTTCCTTGAAGAAGCAAGAAAACACATCCCACTGAGCACAATGGCAAGACACTTGGGACTTTTGCACTTCATGGCAGTGGCTGTGGATCTAACAGCACGGAAACATATTGCCCCAGCACTTTCTAAGTTCCTGCCTCATTGCAGCATGTTGCTGGGAAGAATACAACAGTTGGATCTGGGTACAAGATAAGGGCAATGATTTTCAAGCAGTGTCCAAAATTGGCATGAAGTTCCTGGATGAGACTGGCATGAGTCCCATGTTGACCCAGAAGAGGGCTGCAGAGTGGTGATGCTGATTGGCTGACGTGGGGAAAATTTGCATCAGTGCAGTCACTGCTTCCAGAAGGTGGTCTGCAGAGGGGCTGTTGTCAAGTGCCAGTGAGGCGAGAAATAGGAAGATAGTAGTACAGCTCAACACATGGCTAAACCAATGGTGTAGGAGGGAGGATTTCAGATATTTGGACCATTGAGATCTCTTCTGGGGCAGGTGGGACCTGTACAAGTAGGACAGGTTGCATCTAAACTGGAGGGGCACTGATTATTTTTATTCCCAACCTTGTCCCTTTCTGCACTGAAAGGCCTAACTTTTGCTGAATTACAGCTCCAGTGGTACTGGCTGCCCTCCAGTACTCATTCTGTGAATGACCTATGATCCTGACAGTCCTGGCTGGGAGGTTTGCTGGTGTTACTCGGGAGGATTTAAACAGATTCAGCAGGGGTGGGAAGCAAAGCAAAGGTGAATTGACTCAAAGGGAGCTAGAGAATAGGGTCGGTGCGAGTCAGAGGAAGAGCAGGCAGGGTGTGGTTGCTGATCAAAGTGGATCTGGTGGACTGAAGTCCATTTGTTTCAATGCAAGTTGTGTAGCAGGTAAGGCAGATGTACTTAGAGCTTGGATTAGTACTTGGAACTATGAGTTGTTGCTATCACAGAGACTTGGTTAAGGGAGGGACAGGATTGGCAGCTCAACATTCCAGGATACAGATTTTTCAGGCGGGATAGAAGGGGATGTAAAAGGGGTGGAGGAGTTGCACTACTTGTTAAGGAGAATATCACAGCTGTATTGCGGGAGGACACCTCAGATGGCTCATACAGCGAGGCAATATGGGTAGAGCTCAGGATCAGGAAGGATGCAATCACAATGTTTGGGGTTTACTATAGGCTTCCCAACAGTCAATGGGAGATAGACGAACAGATATGTTGGCAGATTTTCGCAAGATGTAAAAGTAACAGGGTTGTTGTCGTGGGTGATTTTAACTTCCTATATATTGATTGGGACTCACCTTGTGCTTGGGGCTCGGATGGGGCAGAGTTTGTAAGGAGCTTTCAGGAGGGCTTCTTGAAACAGTATGTAGATAGTCCATCTAGGAAAGGGGCCATACTGGACCTAGTATTGGGGAATGAGCATAGCCAGGCGGTCGATGTCTCAGTAGGGGAGCAGCTCGGGAACAGTGATCACAATTCAGTAAGCTTTCCGGGACTGATGGATAAGGATCAGTGCAGTTGTCAGGTGAAGGTGCTAAATTGGGGAAGGCTAATTACAACAATATTAGGCAGGAACTAAAGAATGTAGATTGGAAGCACATGTTTGAGGGCAAATCAACATCTGGTATGTGGGAGGCTTTCAAGCGTAAGTTGATAGGAACTCCAGACTGGCATGTTCCTGTAAGGATGAAAGATTACTATGGCAAGTTTAGGGAATCTTGGATCACGAGAGACATTGTGAGCCTAATCAAAAGGAAAAAAGGGAGCATTTGTCAAGGCTAGGAGGCTGAGAACAATGAAACAAGGGTGGAATGCAAGGAAAGTCGAAAGAAACTTAATACTGAGAGAGGTAAGGGAGGAAATTGCTGGGGGCTTGAGGGAAATCTTTGTATCCTCACTGGCTACAGGGGAGGTCCCAGAGGATTGGAGAATAGCCAATATTGTTCCTTTGTTTCAGAAGGTGGCAGGGATAATCCAGTTAATTACAGGCCAGCGAGCCTTACGTCAGTGGTAGAGAAATAATTGGAGAGGATTCTTTGAGACAGTATTTACTCCCACTTAGAATTAAGTGGGCGTATTAGCAAGAGGCAACATGGTTTTGTGAAAGGGAGGTTGTGTCTCACTAACTTGGTTTGAGTTTTTTGAGGAAGTGACGAAGACGATCGATGAGGGTAGGGCAGTGGATGTTGTCTACATGGACTTCAGTAAGGCCTTTGAAAAGGTCCCTCATGGCAGGCTGTTACAGAAGGTAAAGTCACACGGAGTTAGAGGTGAGCTTACAAGATGGATTAAAAACTGACTCGGCCACAGAAGACAGAGGGTAGCAGTGGAAGGGTGTGTTTCTGATTGGAGGGCTGTGACTCGTGGCGTTCCTCAGGGATCAGTGTTGGGACCTTTGCTATTTGTAATATATACAAATGATTTGGAGGAAAATGTAACTGGTCTGATTAGTAAGTTTGTGGATGACACAAAGGTTGGTGGAATTGCAGATAGCGATGAGGACTGTCAGAGGATACAGCTGGATGTAGATCGGTTGGTGACTTGGGCAGAGAGATGGCAGATGAATTTTCATCTGGAAAAATGTGAGGTAATGCATTGCGGAAGATCTAATCCAGATGGAAAATATACGGTAAATAGCAGAACCCTTAAGACTACTGA